CCCTCATAATTTGCATGATGAATGTATTTTAAAAAAATTTCAGAACATGACCCATCATAAAACTTACGTTTTTTCCACGTTATACCTACCCTAGATAAATTTATGGCTACGCCACTGATTTTGGGAGCATGATGTCAGTGGTAGTGATAGCTATGAGATTGTAGTTATGAAGATGATGAGACTTGGATGCAAATTTAATATTAATTAATGTCCAAATTTATTGTTAAATTCATGTGTAAGATCCTTTGGGTTCGTTGATGTCGAAAATTGGAATATTTAAGGATACTTATGAGTCACCCCTTCATGCTAGTGTGTGGTTTAAACTCGTCTTCTATGTATACTAGTTTTTCACTTGGCCTGTTGGACGGAACATTTTATTTTATCATTTATATTAATTAATTAATCAATCTATATGTTTAAAATACTTTTAATTTTCTATTTTTTATGCTCTCACTTCATAAGTGAGTATGTGATATGTCTATATTAAAAATTCTCAACTTAGCAAGCTCATCTATGATGCTTCGATCCTCTAATCGTAAATCATATTGTGAACGTTTATCATGTCCCATTTGGAACAGTAAACAAAGTTTTGTCAACTAAAGTGCTCGAATTTATTATCTTATAACACATATAACAATTCATGATTCTCGAGCTAGAACAAAACCCTTAACCAATTATCAAGAGTTCAGATTATTAGATAAATATATTTTATTACTGGATAAATTGTGTTTATCCAAAGTGAAATTTGACACACACCATACCCCCTTATGATGATCAACTTTTCTAATCGTGCCTCATTTTCAAGTGAATGTTCATGAAGTCTCGGCTAACGATCTTATGTTAAAATTTGTTTGCCCAGAGACTCAAATTTAGTATCTTATATAATAGAGTAAATACATTTTAATAGCCAAACCTTTCAAAGTTTTCAAATTATCAGCCAAACTTTTCAAAATACAAAGTATTAGCCAAACGTTGACTCCCCGTTAGCATTTTTGTTCGTAATGCTGACTCAACAACATGATGATGAGTTGGAAGAGACACGTGATGGTCAATATTCCAATTTAGTAATTTAATTAAATAGAGTTAAAAAATTATTAACCACAACAAATAAATGGTTAATATTATGATGTGATACAAAATATTTGGCTAATGTTTTGTATTTTGAAAGGTTTGGCTAATAATTTTAAAAATTTAATAGGCTTAGCTATTAAATTTTATTTATTGAATATCTATCAATGACTAATTCTTGAAATTTGGATTAACCCTCAACCAATGATTGTTCATTGTTGTCTTTATGTTGGCTTAGAATCTCGAACAAAGAAACTCTCACACAATATTAAGGGTTCTCTTCTTAACATGGTCTTTTAGCTAGTGTATAATTTTTCAACTTTTTTAATGTGAATTTGCAAAATTTTTGTTATTTTTTTGTGTTAGTTCTTGAACAAAATTTTTATTATATATCTTAATAATTGATAAAGCATGTCTACAATGCACACACATTTATGTGCATTGAAACGTCATATTATTTGAAAAATTAATTATCATTTTTTAAAAATTTATTTTTTGTTAAAATTTTAAAACTCATACAAACATTGTGACAAAAAAAAATGAATTATTGGATGTGTTGTAGACAGATCTACTGTTAATATCTAAGCATATATAAAGTGATGTTTTTATCGTTTACCCTGATTAGTAATTAGAATCTTTGAACTCACCTTGTTCAGTGGAATATGAAAACCAATTTGTGACTACGATAACTCGATCTAAATACATATTGCTTACTATTACAAACTAAAATATTTTTTTTGACACTTTGATCAATGCTAGGACAGTGGCTGATGAAACATAATGTTTATCGTACACTGTCAACAAAGATTTCTCTAATTTTCATACATGTTATATAATACTTGTGCATCGGTCAAGTTTCTATCCAAGACTTTTGCTATACAATACTTTGTTATATATAAAGATATAAGAGAGTGTTTAATAGCAAAAAATGAAATAATGTAGTTCACTTTTAAAAGTCTATGGTCTAACAATTTATTTCTCTTTCCATCGTTATATTTGGTTAATCAATAAAATTATATTAATGTTTATGTATGTGTTTTTTTTAATTTTAATAAAATTTAACTCATTATTAAGTTTATTAAAAATAAGTAGAAAATTTACTTGATAAAGTTTAATAGGATACTTTGATTTAAACAAATGCAATATGTATCACTCTACATACATTAGTCTATTGCTACAAACAGATATAATAAAAAAAACAAAAACAAACATGAATTATTATTGAACAAAAGAAGAAAAAATCATTAAAAGAAGAGATATAATACCATAAATAGATCATTAACTAACTTTTTTGTTTGTAAAAAAATTGTTCACCGTGGTAAATTGTGAACTCTCCAATACTTATGTGGCAATAAATTGCTTTTGAACAACCATCTATCTATCTATCTATCTATCTATCTATACATAATATTATGGCAATTCAAAAGTAATTGTTTGCCACCTAAGCACTTGGAGAGCTCACAAATTGCCAAGGTGGACAATATTTTTACAAAAAGAAAAATAGTTATTGATATATTTATGGAGCTATCTCTCTCTTCATTTAATATTTCATTTCCCTTTTATCATCTTTTTGTATTATATCAATGTACACAATAATAAATAATGTATGAAAAGTGACACGTATTACATTTGTTATCTCTAACTTTTTTAATATTTATTTTTCTTTTTCAATACTTCCTTTATGTTTTTGTTTTACTTTTGCATTGTATAGATGTACGCAACAATAGACTAATGTCTTTGAGTCACACATATAACTTTTTTCTCAACCAAAATATCTTATTAAAGCTCACTAAGTTAATTTTTAATTCACTTTTACAATAATTTACAAATATGTTACATTTTGATGAACAATTTATACAAACACACATACATAATAACATTTTATCGCGACAAAATAACGATGAAAATTAAAGAGAGAACAAGAAACGTTTGAATAGAAACTTGACCAAGCAATAAAATCTATTTCTTAAACAAAACCTTGTTCATTCTAATTAAGTGAAAAAATATGAATCATAGGTGCAATAATTTACAATGTATCCTAAGTTCAAATTACTAATATTTTGCATTTTTGCTCTAGATCGTGTTAATTTAACAAACTCTACTGAAGTTTTACGTCATATGTTAAGAAATTTAATTTTTAGACTTGGACTAATAAATTTTCAAGAATTATAAATCAAAAATTTTAAAATGACTTCGGTATGATTGTTGATGAACTTGACTTCATATCTTAAGATGAAACACGAGATACATTAAAAAATGATACATGTGAAAGTTAGATGAATATTTGCTAAACTGTATGTTAAACATCATGTGTTCATCAACCACTGACCTATGAAGCAAGATTAGAGAAGTTAATCATCGTAAGAGGTATGATCTTTCTTAGCAAACACATGCATAAATAATAATATATTTGCGAAATAAAATAATTCAATAAAAATTCAATGGAACAAGAATAGATCACCTCATTGGATAAATGAAGATGATAAGTAAGAATAACTTTTCTCTTACTTATAATATGTCCTTCCATCCCTTATTTTCTTTTACAGTTGTTCATATTTCCTTTATTTTCTTAACATTTTACAAATCCCGGTAAAAAACAAGCGTTAATTACACTTAAAAATAATTAAACTCTTTTTAATATATATGCTTATATATTGACAATACATGTGGCAATACAAAAAATGCATATATTAGTATAAGTAATGAAATTTTTATTTCTAAACAAACACCAAACATAAATAAATTTTAGCAAATGGAGGTTCTACAAGTTGTAAAATTATACACTAACACACCATATTAAGATCAAAATCCGTATGTGAGTATCTTGGATTGAGATTCTAAAACAATATATAAACAACGATAATGAGTCTTAGTTAGTCCAAATTAATTTTCGGAAATTAGCAATTGATACATATTGTATAAGAGACTAAATACAAATAAGATCTTACAGTAAACTTCATGAACATTCAAAGTGTCAACTTCAAATTGGGATGAAGAAATTTATCCAATAATAAAGTATATATACAAAGAAACTCTCCATAAAATGTCCTCATCTAAACAACATGGATTCATATAAGATAGAAAAAATTGTACATGGACGTTGTATACCTTTGTGACATGGTTTATGATTAGAGAATTCAAACAGTATAAGTGAATGTGCTAAGTATTGAGAATTTTAAATATATAGACACACCACATACTCACTTATCAATATAAAATATAATAAATTTAGAAGGTCTAAAATAGTTTAAACATATAGATAAATTGAATTAATGTCAATGATAAAATGAACATCTCCGGCCAATGGGCCGGGTAAAAAGCTAGTAATATATAGTAAGATAAGATAAGTTTCTTGTATTATTTAGACTTTACTATATAGTTTATGAGCTTTCAAATTTTCTTATGCGCATGAATACTAGCATTTTGTAGTTATTTAAAGTTTTGTGGTGTTTATATCAAACAAAATATAGGTTGTAGAAAGAAGATTTATGATAATTTCCATGGTTCATATAAACTTATGATTTATGCTTTGCTTTTACGTTTTAACTTCTATCCATCAGTTAAGCTTATACATAAAAACTAAATTTAACTACATTGTTTGATATTACCACTTTAACAGTTTTAAGCGACGGCTATGATATGTTTGCGAGTTGATTATTTGTTAATCATCCTCCAATGGTGTTTGTTTTCAGCATTTATTGTTTTGGTGAAGACTGCAATAAGAGGCTGCAACTTTGTTCTGGACTTTGTACAAGTTGCTGCAGTAGTAGTAGAGTAGATACTAGATAGACGCCATACAGTACTCTTTCTGTAATTTGAATAGCTTCCTCCTACTACATCTGAATTTCGGATCTTTTCAAGGTAGTGGTCTGTACTCTGTTGTTGTGTTTCAATGGAACTCAAATATTAATCCCACATCGATACTATTAAGATGCAAATGCTGTATTTAATTAGCACGCTAACCTAGGCAGTCGCTGAGCCTGGTAACGCGGGCTTGTGACCCAAGTAGGAGCATTAAGGTGTTGGGATATTGGGCTGATTGAAGAGGTTGGGCCTTGTGTAGCTGAACCCTGGCCTTCCCATTCCAAGCTTGGAGCTGGAGTTCTGCTTCCTCGTCGAAAGGCTTGAGGAGGCCGTTCTCCTAGAGTGGAGGGCACCGCGTCAGGCTGGTTTCACAGAGTAGCGACTACCTCTTCCTTCAGGCAGTGGAAGGATAACAGGCCGGTGCTGATAGATTCCGTTGGGCCTCATTGGTCGTCTAAACTGAACCAACACTTTTTCTTGTTGGACCATGAAGGCCCAGATGAATTAATGTGGTTGGAGTGAAATCCAAAATTTAAAACTAAGAATCCCATTCCGGGCTTTCCCCGTGATCACCGGTAGCTGATTTTGGCTGGAAGAAGGGATCGTACTGTTTTGAATGGAATATTGTCGCTTCTTTATGCTATAGTATTTTTTCTTTTGTTTCTGCTATAGTATTTTAAGATGACATGTAATCAATCATTTAGTAAAGAGATCTCTATTATTGAAATTAATTAATTCGGTAAAAGATAATTCGAAGATAGTGTAAAATTTAAAGTTCTGGGTTTGAATTCTCGCAAGATTTTGATGATAATAATTGGAACATTAACAAATAAGGAATTGTAAAATTTAAACTCAGTTACCTTAATAAATTACGAGACATAAATCTCATGAGTAATTTTCCTTCAAATCTACAAAATTAGTAAATGAGTATTTGGTGTAGTAGTAATACCCCTAATCTTAAATCTAAAGGTCTTAGTTTTGAATCTCTTCAATAATATATAACTATAAAAAAAAACCATATCATTCTTATAAAGATATTTTTTTCATCTAACTAAACCATAAAGCACATGAAACATTATCGTGTATAATATACAAATACACACTAATCCCTCAACAAATACAACTATATATTATTTATTTCGTAAAAAATATGACCGCAGAGTGTCAGAAAGAGGGAAGGCAAAAGATGGCTTAGAATAGGGTTATTAACCAATGGACCTTTAGATCTAAGTGAGTGCAAAAAATTCAGATCTAAGGGTTGTCAATTAAAGGCATTTTATTTTTCCTAGTTTTCTTAATCGGCTCTTATCTTCTTCGTTCTAACTCGGATTTCAATTTTTTTTGCATAGATGGAACGAGTTTGCTGTGCTCTACAAAATGAGATCAATTTTCAATATATTTCGAGAAATTGTTTTTTACCAACTACATATCATATGGTAACTTCTTCGTTTTTAAGTCGTTTTTGAAAACGTTTGCTCAGAAGGAATGAGTTCATCATAATCTATTGGATCTATAAATTTTTGATCTGATCTATCTGTGCAAAAAAAAATTAAATTTCGACTTAAAAGTTAAAACAAGAGAGAAATCGTCCATTAAAGATTGAAAGGGAAAAGATAAAAGATTTTCCAGGAGAGAGATGATACTGATGTCATGCTGATGTGGACAGATTACTCATGGTTTTGGGTTGTTCCTTTATAATTTTTCAATTAATTTTATGACCCCTGGTATGATTTTTCAATTAGTTTTGGGTTGTACTAAGAATATTTAAGACACAGGGGGTTATAGTTTTACAAGAATTGACTTATGAATTTTATACTTGTTCCAAGAGGCTTCCCGACACAGCGGTGAGGAGACTTTGACTAGCCGGCGATGCAAAACTTCGGAATACATCTTCTCGATGTTCTATTTTAGTTTACGTCTCCTTCCCTAATGCAAGTATCCCACCGAAACTCCCCTGCCATTCTAGTGGTTGCCAGGATCAAAGTGTCGCTCCGAAAAATAGCACAGGACCAATTAACCCTTTAGTTGTGGATGCGACGGGAAATCCTTGGGACAACAATTGTGATGAGTAAAAAGACGAACTTAGAGAGAGACAGACCTAACAATTGCCATGAATCAGACTACGCAAGCACTGGGAATGGCTTTGGCATTAACTTGAAATCCGTCCTTGTGTAGACACCACCACCACCACAACAAGACCAATGAACCTTGACATGAGTCCATGAGCAAAGGCCAATGCCCACAACAACCATATGAATAACTTATAAGATGAGAATCTCCAAGCACTGAGGATGCATGCTGCCAACAATGCTTTGACTGGCCGATTATCAAACCAATTAGTTGACGAAGACACCACACAACTCTGAATTCCAAGGGACCTTGATGAAGACAAGCGGCTGATTGATGGACTAAATCATGGACCTTTGATGAAGACGATGAGCTGATGACAAGAGCGCTGCTACTGAACAGGACAACGACTCTTCTTTTCGGCTGGCCGGAGATGACGAATCCGAAAAACAAGCCTTGTTTGGATGTTGACGGAAACACAGACACGCTCGGCGTCGAAATTGAGATCCTAATCGTGGCCTTCTTGTTGACCACTATGAACTGAACTCCGGAGGCGGGATAACGCCAACGAGAAGATGAACGACAATCTAGCAGCAGAGAGATAAGCGGATTCGGGCAGTGTTCCTTGACGTGTACTGCGCAGACGGCGCAAAACAGAAAACTCATGGTCAGCTGCTACGGGCTCTCGCTTGCTGCTGGATGAACGAACGAAAGGGACGCCGGTCTGATGACGTCGAATGCCACAAGCAACTTCGTTTCCATTGTTGCTGGAGGTGGAGTCTTCGCACACCGTGACTGGTTAACGAAGATGAAGAGACCTAAGACAGAGACTTGAGGAAGCTCAAAACCCTAATAAAGGATCGAGTTTCGCTCTGATACCATGTAGAATTTGATGATGTGGAAGATGAAACAACATACGAGACAACGATTTTACGTGGTATCCTCGATCGATTGATTGATCGAGACTAATCCACGGTGAGCTCATAAGAGCTCACGACTGATCTCTTATTAGGATTACATCTTGACGGCTTGCTATCACACAAGTCGATAGCTAAGCTTATATAGATAAACTTAGGGTTAAAACCCTAATCCAACGAATCAGACGAGGCCCAACAAGGCCCAATACTAACACGGTTTAAGTAACCGCAACAATTATCAACGTATTACTTTTATAAGTTTGACTTATTTTTAACATAAACTAATCTCATATTAATTTCTCTCCAATCTACATATTGTACGTAAGAATTAGAACAACTCATCAACACAGACCAACTTCCTCGATCATATGAAAATGAGATTCTTGATCGAACACGAAATAATTGATAGAATTAGAGGGTAAAATAAGTAAATAACCAACGAGGAGAAAAATAAACATACAGTACTTGTCACAATCGAAGGGGCGGCAAAGAAGATATATCGTTGGTGTGGGTGGGTTGGAAGAAGAATCCATTGTTGTACGGACAAAAAGAAGCCATTGTTGGGCCAAGATCAATTAATGTAATTATATTACTACCTACTTGGACCAAGATAAATTTGGTTAATGAATTAGAGGGTTACTATTTGTCGCCCGTCTCTTTACTATTTGCCGCCCGTAAATTAAACTAAAATGACATTTTTACCCTTTGTTCATTTTTTATAAAACAAACCTCATTCCACCACAACACGAGCGACCACCACTGCGGCCGACAATAAACCATCGCCGGCTCCGCCACTCCTGCTGCCGACGGCGCCAGTCCACCGCCGCCGCCAAATCGCCGGCGGCGCCACCACCACCAGATCACCACCGCGGCCAGAACCAAATCATCACAGCCGGCGGCGGGCCCCGTCCGACGCCGGCGAGCGGACCGTGCATTAGCGACAGTTTCAAAACCGTCACAAAATTCGTCGCTAAATGATAATAATTATTTAACTCAATCTTCTACTTTTTTTTAATATTATATCATGTTAATAATTATATGTATGTTTATTAATTATATTTATGAATTAGAAAACTAAAAATTATTCATAAGAAAAAAATTAAATTATAAAAAATATTGTACAAACTAATTCATACTTATTTTATAATTATGTAAATAGAGCTAAAATAAATAAATAATTCATTTTAATTATGTAGAATAGTTATAAAATATTTATAAATTTTGATTAAACCTTTTTAATTGTATTTATTTCATATTTAATAAGATCATCGTACCTAAATTATGTTTTATAAAACTTTCAAGGAATCGAGGCACGAAGAGGACTCTTTGCGGCTGGGGGAAGGTCGGGCAAAAACATATTTTAGCAATTACTAGAGTCACCGACATGAAAAAATATTCAAAATTTCATCGATCTCTTAAAATGTGGATACAAATGTGTTGGAATCGATTGTTTATCAATCGTACATTCCCGACAAAAAGAGATGAATAGTGCCAAAACTTTCATCGAGGTGTTTTTAGGGCTCTGGGGGTGGTAACTAGGATTTTCTTGAGCCTATCACGTATATTTCCACGAGACGAAATATTGTTGTTAGTGGAGGAAGAGATGATTTTGCCTCTAAAATAATTTCCTAGTAGGATTGGATTGATCGAGGTTGAAGGTAGCTATTCAAGGGGAATGAGGGTTTAGGGTTTCAGAAGAGTATAAGGTATAGGAGGTGGATGAGATGCTTTCCTTCTTTATTGTCATTATTGGTCTAGTTGAGTCGAGTTGATTCTTATTGTTGTTATCCGTCATCTTGGGTGAGATTATTTCAACTGTGGTCAAACCCTAATTAAGTCAAACCCTAATTCGGGTCAAACCCTAATTAAGTCAAACCCTAGTTCCCCCAAACAACTGTGGTCAAAATAATATATAATTTAGTCAAACCCTAATTCGGGTCAAACCCTACTTAAGTCAAATCCTAAGTCAAACCCTAATTCCCTCAAACAACTGTGATCAAAATAATATATAATTTAGTCAAACCCTAATTCGGGTCAAACCCTAATTCGGGTCAAACCCTAATTAAGTCAAACCCTAATTCCCTCAACCAACTATGGTCAAATAATATATAATTTAGTCAAACCCTAATTCGAGTCAAACCCTAATTCCCTCAACCAACTGTGGTCAAATAATATATAATTTAGTCAAACCCTAATTCGGGTCAAACCCTAATTAATTCAAACCCTAATTCCCTCAACCAACTGTGGTCAAATTAACAATTATATACTAATTATTCAACTATCAATATTAAACTAATTAAGATACTAACAATTATATTTAAATAAATCTAATAAATATTTATTTAAACCGAACCATTCAAACCGAATCATAAACCCAATTAGATCGGTCCGACCAGACCGGACGGACGGGGTACGACTGGCCGGAGCGGACGGGGTCCGACCAGACCGGGCGGACGGGGTCCGACCAGACCCCGCTCCGGCCAGTCGGACCGCGTCTGCTCCGGCCAGTCGGACGGCGACTGAAAAAAAAAATAAAAAAAATGCTCTTCGCCGAGCTTCGGAGGTTGGCGGCGATGAGAGCGAGCGAGGAAGACTCGATTTGCGGCGGCGCTGCTATGGCGTCCTCTTTGGCGGCAGCTTCTAGGCTCGGCGGTAGCTTCTGGGCTCGGCAGGAGGGAGGAGTCGGCGGCGGCGGGAGGTCCGGCAGGAGGAGGGTCATCGGCGGCGGGAGGACGGCAGGAGGAAGGAGGGTTGAAGGGGGGGGGGGGGGGGGGGGGGGGGGGGGGGGCGGCAGATGGGTTGAGGGTGGGATAGGGTTAGGGGCAAAATCATCTCTCTTTTTTTTCTCACTATGGGCGGCAAATAGTAAAACTGCGGGCGGCAAATAGCGATTCAGATGAATTAACATGGTCAATGTGATTCAGGCATTTGGGAAGCCAATTTCTCGTTTTCTCACATCACAGGGTCAGGTGTCTTCTTTGGATTAGTACCTTTGGTCTCAAGTACGTTAGAAATGTTATGACGATTGGAATAAAGTAGTACAATGAAAAATGTCTGAGTGATCCATTCAATCCATACAAATGGATGGTGATGATGACAAGGTGCAAATATATGCATGAGAGGCAACGATTAAGATAGAGCATTATTACGAAAACAAAATGACAGAATGATAAATCCAATAGCGACATAAGGGCAATGTGTGAGTACTGTTAGCTGGATGATGACAGTCGCTGAATGGGAAGTTTTTGGCGACATTAATACTCTCTCTAAATACCATTTTATCTCCATGGGAAAATGGTTACCAGTTCCATGGACGGAGCTACTCCCCGAGGATTTTAAAAGTACCGTAAACTTATATCAATATTTGAAAATTTCGTATAAACTATAGAATATACTAAGAATGTAGAGAGTGCGAATGAGAGCTTTGATGATAATTCATCCCTGAGGTTAAGGGTTCGATGGCCAACGGATGAAGTTTATTCTTTAATTTCCTTTTCAGTTTTAGTAATCTCGCATTCATTTTTCCATAAGTTATATATAGAATGTGTAACACAAAATTGAAATGCATTAGTTTTTGTTTACTTTTTTGAATTCATATTTTATTATGAAAGAAAATTTTTAGTTGACTCCAATCATCTAAAATTGATGTTATGATAATAACTAAAGTTTTTTTTTTTTTGTCTTTTCGCATTAACAAAATAAACCTCTAGGAATGTCAATCATGGCTTCGTCCCCGACTCAAAGATGAAAATGAATTTTTTATACTTGTAATTGTAAATGGTAAAAGCAATAGTGCAATACTAGTTTTAGAAGCATATAAAATCCATAAAAAAAAACTTATGGATACAACATATTCACTTTTGTCTACACAAAATAAGATGTAGCATAGATGTTATTTTGAATATTTATAATAATCTAAAAATCTGAGTATATCATTATGAGTACTTTTTTAATAGTTTTATAGCCTTTTCGAAGTAACCGAATATTAAAATTCGACTTCCCCAAACGTCGAATCCTTATTCCACCCCTGGTCAGTTCTCCCTCCATCCGTTCGTTGTATATATTTTGCTATGCCAACCTTATCCATGTTGTTCATTTACTATTAGTCTATTACCGATTTGACAATTTTAACTATTATAGTATTATTTTTGTTTCAATTTCATTTCACTTATTATGCAAAAAAAAAAAAAAAAATTCACTTGCAACAGCAACCGATGGATGTAATGGAACTTTTAATATAATCAGAAGGCATAAACTCTTCAACAATGAAAATTCATAAATAATAATTACAAAGATGACATGGCATGGCAGCCGATATAATTGATACATACCATATGGTAACTTCTTCGTTTTTAAGTAGTTTTTGAAAAATGACTGAGTGATCCATTCAATCCATACAAATGGATGGTGATGATGACAAGGTGCAAATATATGCATGAGAGGCAACGGATTAAGATAGAGCATTATTACGAAAACAAAATGACAGAATGATAAATCCAATAGTTCCATAAGGGCAATGTGTGAGTACTGTTAGCTGGATGATGACAGTCGCTGAATGGGAAGTTTTTGGCGACATTAATACTCTCTCTAAATACCATTGATCTCCATGGGAAAATGGTTACCAGTTCCACGGACGGAGCTACTCCCCGAGGATTTTGAAAGTAACATAAACTTATATCAATATTTGAAAATTTCGTATAAACTATAGAATATACTAAGAATGCAGAGAGTGTGAATGAGAGCTTTGATGATAATTCATGCCTGAGGTTAAGGGTTCAATGCCCAACATATGAAGTTTATTCTTTAATTTCCTTTTCAATTTTAGTAATCTCACATTCATTTTTCCATAAGTTATATACAAAATGTGTAACACAAAATTGAAATGCATTAGTTATTGTTTACTTTTTTGAATTCATATTTTATTATGACAGAAAATTTTAGTTCACTCCAATCATCTAAAATTGATGTTATGATAATAACTAAAGTTTTTTTTTTGTCTTTTCGCATTAACAAAATAAACCTCTAGGAATGCCAAATCATGGCTTCGTTCCCGACTCAAAGATGAAAATGAATTTTTTATACTTGTAATTGTAAATGGTAAAAGCAATAGTGCAAT